GATGGATTGATATGGTGGCTGCAATGATGAGCTCAAGTATAGCAGGGATTGTGGGGTTGGCACGGGATAGGGCAGTGTTTCGTTCTGCTGTGCATGGGGTCGCTATGAGTCGGAAACGACTCTACGGCACTTAACAACAACAACAACAAATATATATATAAAAATACAGATGCACAGATCAATCTCTAGAATTTGGTTGGGTTGATTTTGGGTAGGATCAAGTCATTGGCATTTTTGGATAAAAAAGCTCCCCAAGGGGTTTGAGAGGGTTGATAAGCACTGAGAAACCCCACAGTGTTAGGAAAAGAGACAGGACTTTCTGTACTTGTTGAATAGTATCCCTTCAAAATTGATGTCCACTCAGAACCTCAGAATCTGACTTTATTTAGAAATAGCATCTTTGTAGATGTATTTAGTTAATTTATGATGAGGTTATACTAAGGTGGGCTCTAATTCAATCTAGAGATACAGGTAGACAGGGACAATACCACTTGAGGACAGAGGTAGGACAAGGAATATCAAGGATTGCCGGTAACCACTAGAAGCAAGGAACAATCTTCCTTTAAAGCCTTCAGAGAGAGAGCATGGTCCTGCCAGTACCTTGATTTCAGACTTCTCTCCAGAACTGTGAAAGAATAAATTTCTGTTGTTTTAATTGCTTAGTTGGTGAGAGTTTGTTACAGCAGCCCTAAGAAACTAATATACCTAACAACTTACTTTTTTTTTCCCCCCCAACTTACATTTCTACTTGCATTAACAAACTTGATTAAACTGTCTCCCCTCAATCTCAGCAGAGCTTTCCTCTCTCTTATTCTTATTTGGTCTACATCTGCAAGTAAAAACAGAGCAGAAGGAGCATAACATTTAAGTCAGAACAATTTGATCTCAAATCTGGTCTCTGTTTCTTAATAATAATGTGACCTTGGAAAAGATGCTTCAATGTAGTGAATTATAGTTTGTTTCCTCATTTGTAAAAAGGGAGTAAATAAGACTTCAAGCCACAAGTAAATTAGTAATGTGATATGAAACATTAAGTACAGTGCAAAAAAACCCCAAACCCACTGTCTTTTCAACTCATAATGACCCTATAGACTAGCATAGAACAGCCCTGTAGGGTTCCCATGACTAAATCTTTATGAAAGTAGATTGCCATATCTTTCTCTTTTAGAATGGCTGGTGGGTTTGAACCACTTACCTTTTGGTTAGCAGTGAAATGCTTTAACCACTGTGCCACCATAACAGGAGCTCAGCTTATGTTAGCTGTCTTGCTGCCTTATCTGTCCTGTCCTATCACATCTTGTCTTTTCCTGTCTGTCCTATCAAGTGTTATCTGTCTTGTCCTGTTTCTTTCTCATTTCTATTGGTCTTTAATTTCTTCATATGTAAAATGAAGGGCTCAGATAACATTTGGATTCCCTTATTCCCTAAAATCAGTGAGTCTGATTCTTTGCCTGGAGAATAATTACCATGTATTCTTTCCCACAAATTCTGTTTATATAGAAAAAGGAAGCTATTGGCACAAGTTGATAGGGGGTAAATTTGAAGTTTCTTTGAGTATGCTATTTACATATTCTCACATGGCTTTCCTTTCAACCTGACGCTATGAAATGGCTGGTCAATGTGGGGGACATGGTTTGGGCCTATGGGAACAAGATTGTTTTGATTGGGTGACATCATCTGTTTTATATGGACATCAATCTTGTGCCCTTCACTGCCATTGCCCTTGCTTCAACTGCATGACCTACTTTATATTTGTAATAATAGTGGTAAAAAACTCCCCCGAAACACCCAAACCCATCACTGTGAGTCAATTCTTCACAGTGACCATGTAGAACAGTGTAGAACTGCCCCATGAGACTCCTAAGGCTGTAAATCTTTTTGGAACCAGAATGCCACATAGTTCTCCTGTGGAGCAGCTGGTAGGTGTGAACTAAACTAATGACCTCTTGGTTAGCAGCCAAGTGCTTCACTACTGAGCCACTAGGGTTCCAAATAATAGTGGTGGTGGTGGTTGTTATTATGTGCAGTCGAGTCGGACCTGACTCATAGCGACCCCTCCTTGGGTTTCCAAGGCAGTATCACTATGGAAGTAGATTGCCCCATCTTCCTTCCAAGGAGTGGCTGGTGGGTTTGAACTGCCAGCCTTCTGGTTAGCAGTCAAGTGCCTTAGGCACTATGCTACCAGAGCTCCCAATAATAGTGGTAGCACCTGGCATTTATATTACAGCACCTATTTGAAGTGATGCACCTCAGAAGAGCACAGGTGAAATTAGGACAAATTACTACCTGGATTTTTTTTTTTTTTTTGGTCAAGAAAATAAAATGTGCTGCATCTTGAGTCACCCCAGAGAGTCATAGAGAAATCCATTCCAATATAGATTGGTATCAAGGAACAATTTGTAATTCATGGCAATGACTCAGGAAGGCTTCAGCCTTATTCGCTGTGACATATACCTGTCCTTGTCCAGTCATCCATTCCAAATGGAAGCTAAGACAAACAGGGAGGTTCTAAGCTGCTGTCATAACCTAGTTCAGGCATGTGAGAGAAGAGAACTAGGATGGTCTCTCAGTGTGCAGGCTCAAGGGAGTTACTTTGTTAAGAGCAGATACATTGTCTACCATTTTCCGGTGCCTAGCAAAGAATAACAAAGTATTGGGAGCTCTGGTAGCATAGTGCCTAAGGCATTTTGACTGCTAACCAGGAGGCTGGTGGTTCAAACCCACCAGCCACTCCTTGGAAGGAAGATGGGGCAATCTACTTCCATAGTGATACTGCCTCGGAAACTCAAGGAGGGGTCGCTATGAGTCGAGTCCCACTCGACGGCACATAACAACAACAACAACAACAACAACAACAAAGCAAAGTATAACATAGGATGCTCCTCAGTTTAAAGGTTAAGAACAATCAGAAATCATGATAATCTGAATTCACATTTTGGCTTCATCAGCATTATAGTAAGAGTCTGCAACTTTTTCTGTAAAGGGCCAACTAGTAGATATTTTAGGCTTTGAGGCCATATGTTTTTAGTCACAGCTGCTCAACTCTGCCATTATAGCCAAAAGCAGCCATAGTCAATACATAAATGAATGAGTGTAGCTCCCAACATAACTTTATTTACAAAAACAGGCAGTGGGTGAGATTCAGCCTGTGGACGATAGTTTGCCTATCTCTGATTTATAGATCTTACACTAATAAATTACTTTAATTCTCTACATGTGTTTTGAGGATTAAATGAGAAAAATTTACACAATAAAACATTGTGTTTTACACAATTAAATTTAAATTTACACAATAAAACATTTACCATGTTCTTGGCATATAGTAAGCACTTGAAAATAGTAGTTTCTATTATTTTATAGAATTAATTATATATTGCATTATTTATTGTAAGGTACTTCTTGATTTCAGAGATGTTCAAAATTGTTGATAAATTATTAATTATACGGTTAAGATTTTAAATCTTGTTCTAACAGTGGTCATTTAAAACTTCTTGTGTGATTTTTCTTTATGATGTTCTTCTTGTCAGAGACACGTGTCATGAACTCCTGGGTCATGTTCCATTACTTGCGGATCCTAAATTTGCTCAATTTTCACAAGAGATAGGCTTGGCATCTCTGGGAGCATCAGACGATGATGTTCAGAAACTAGCTACGGTGAGTCTTTTTCATTTTCAAGCTTACAAATATTCTGTTGCGTGCATTTTTATGTATAGAAAACCTCAGACTATATAAATCATAATTCAGGTACTTTGGAGAGGAGCTGATAATTTTATTCCTTCACATGTTGTGTTATTTTGAAGCACAGTGTATTCTTGGCTTATTAACTATCCACATATTTGTATTTTATCCTCCAATTCAGACGTTGGCTACATGTAAAGGGCTGGGTAGTAAATATTTCAGGCTTGCGGGTCATAGGTCTTTGGTGCAACTATTTAGCTCAGCTTCTGTAATATGAAAGCAGCCACAGACAATGCATAAATAAATGAGTGTGACTGAGTTCCAATAAAACTTTATTTACAGAAACTAGTGGTGGATCAGATTTGGCCTGCAGCTTGCTGACCCAAGTTTCGAGCTCATTGTTTATTTTCTAGAAATACTAGAAATAGAAATATATATATAAATTTATGGTTAAGTAGGTGTTGTATTTGGGATACTCTCTTTGCTTAGTGAATGTGGTATGGTCAGTTATAGCTGGAGTCATCAATAAGAAACTAAGCCTAAACAATTACTATAAGTACAAAACCAGAAAAAATATATAGTAGATGCTATGGTTACAGCAAGGTTCTTCTCAAAACAAGTTGAGAGGAGGGTAATGTTGTAATGTTGGCTGCTACCCTGAATATTGCAGAGGATCCAGATCTAGCTTCATTTTCATTTCAGAATAAGAAAGAGCAGGCTTAACAAACTTATGTATCTACAGAGACCAGTTAGTTAGCGCAAATGAGCAAAGTCACCAGGGGGAGAAAAACAACATCTTAAGTCATTATCTACTTGACACAGATACCCATAGTTCACGTATTATGTAGGAATATTCTTTGCTTCCACCAAGAAAGACATTTTCTCTTAGATTTCTTAAAGCACACAGCCCTTTCAGTGTACCTTTTTTTCCTACTTTTGATAGAGCTATTGGACCTGAAAAATATTTCTCTACTAAAGAAAAACAGCAGTGCAACCATCTAAATGGTAACTGACCTTGGTGTCAGAATGGGTATAGCAGAGGTTAGTGGGGACTGTGGTAAATTAGAAAACATGCCTCTTCTATGACAGAAGCCTGGTTCTCTGCTCCTGCTGATGGTTGTCAGGTGGAGATGCAGAGCCTTATGTTGCTAAATCTTCTACACTTTTTTTTTTTTT